GGCCCTAAAACATGAGAAGATTTGCTTGCAGAATGTCTCAATAATTTTATTCTTGGTTTTCTCAATTTGTTCATACATTTATTTAACTATACATTTATTTATTCACCTATTTCTCTGTTCTTTCTATAACTGAATGACTATATTAATCTCTGTTTTAGACACTGAGAATACAGAGTTAACAATTCAGACAAAAATCCCTGTCCCTGAGAGTTTAGACACATGTAGCAAGTTTGGGAAAGAAGAGATCACTGGATAAAAATGTATGTTCGATGGAAAAAAGAACTAAGAAGAAAATTAAAGTCAGGAGAGAAAATACTCTGGGGAGAAGTGAGTTTCCAATGAGACGAGTAGGGAAGAGGCCACCAAGCAAACAAATCTGAGTGTGGCTCGGAAGGTAGGCAGCTCCCCTTGTAGTAGCTCAGCTTGAGTCACAGACACAGATGAGAGGAACACTAGGCAAACATAAGGAAGATGCCTTGCTTATCTGAGAAACACAGGAGTCCTAGGTGCCTGGAGCAAAGTGAGTCGTTGGGGGAGGTGAAGACACAGAGGTACCTGGAGTGGTGGCTTGGTGATAGGAGCCATGGGGGTCCTTGTAAGGATTGTGACTTTTATTCTCAGTGAGGTGAAGGATGATTGGAGGGTTTTAAAAAGGGAGGTGACATGAATTCCACTGGGTTCTTACAGGATTGCTCTGGTTCTGTTGATGTAAGTATCCCCTGAATGAGGACCAAATCAAGGGGACCAGATACTGCCATGATGTGGGCCCGAGATGAGGGTGGCTTGGACCAGTACAATGACAACAGGGCTGGTGAGATGGAGCCAACCCTAATGGGGTGAGGATACGTTGAACACAGAAATGACAAATAATGATAGCTGACACTTAAATAATCTTGACATGGTGTCTTGGTTACTTTTCTCCTGTTGCTGAGACAAAATACCCAACACCCCAAATTAAGGACTGGAAGGTTTATTTAGCTTATAGTTTGTAGAAGTTTCAGTCCATACTCAGCTAGCACCAAGGCAGGGTGGTACATGGCAGAGGGGAAACAGCTCTTCAGTTCATGGTGGCGGAAGACAGCAAAAGCAACCAGAGCAAAATGGGGGTGGTTGGGAGCAAGCCTCTTTTCCTCCCTTATATTGTAAGCAGGCTCCCCTCCCTAGGGTGGGTGTAGCACTCACACCATCTCCATGCCCTCCTCTTGTAGGGATGAGGGTGTTTACAAAGTGAGGACCCTGGCCCTCTGTTGAGTCACTTAAACTTCTAAACTTCTCAAGTTGACACAATGTATCAATGATTACATATGTACTAAGCACCATTCTAAGTACTTGTAAATTTGTGTGTGTGTGTGTGTGTGTGTGTGTGTATGTTTACTGATGAGAGGAGTGAAACACAGAGGTGTTAAGAATCTTGTCTAATACTTCATAGCTAATAACTAAATCAGCAAAGAGTCACACTTGGAATGGACTTCAAATTTCTGTTTTTCAATCATCTCAACAGAACCTTTCAAAAATCAGTATTTAGGCACTGCATTTGAGCCTCACCTAATGAGTATTCTTAGAGAATGCATAAATTTCCAGTAATACATGTAGATAGCTATCTTTTTGGAGAGTGAATAATTTGAAGCTTTATGAGCCATGACTTATTTATGTAAACAACATAAATATCCAAAAGACAAATTCCTTCAGATTTGTTGAGGATGTCTCAGAATTTTCAGGACTTTAGAATGAACAAAGAAAAGGCATCTGCTCAAATTAGAATTGGTAATCTCACTAGAGCTTTGCAATGTTAGTGCTTAATGAGAATGGTCATAAAATTTGTAACAGGAAATGAATGGTCAGGAGTCTCTCTCATCAGGGGAATAGTAACAAGAATTTAAAGCTGGATTAGTGCCTATATGATGGAAGTGAAGTGGGGTCCACTATTTGAGGAACACTAAGTTTAGTAACTGAGGCTCTGTCTCATCTCAAACAGATGGGTGCTGGAGTTTCAAATGCAGAGGGATTCATTTCTAGCTTTAAATATTTGTAGGATTAGCAGTCCCTAAAACCAGGATGCTGTTTTTAGTACTTGGAGGGCTGAGGACTGCTGAAATGGCTCTGACTGTAAAGTATGCTAAGGCATTTCCGGGTTCGGGTGAATTTGATGGAACGGAACTTGTTTATGGAAGATGGAGGGAGGGAAGACTTTTCTTTCTTTGATTAGCAGATTCTCCTAATTCTTTGTCATTAATTTTTTTCTTACTGATGATACTGAACAGCTTTGGGAGGTCTGATTTTTGATAAGAAAAAAGGCATGAACATGTACAGTGAGAAAAACAAGAACAGACCCCTAAGATATAGTGTGATGTGTGTGTCAGTCTCAATGTTGATTAACCAGGAAAAATTTCCCTCTGGGTACTTTTGTATTCTTTATAAAGAGTTCAAATTCAATTGTCTGCTCTCCTTAAAAAGTTAATGATATTATTGTGGTTTCATATTTTTTCATTTATAAACACTGCAAATACTTATTAATATTATGTTTTTGCCTTTATTAATGAACTATGTCTTGAATGATTTTTACTTTGCTTTTGATAGTATTAATAGAAACAATTTAGGTGTAGATTATTACAGATAGGTTATTTTTTTGGATTTTTGAGACAGGATCACTGTGCAGTTCTGGCTGGCCTTGAACTCACGATGTAGCCAGGGTTGGCCTCAAACTTGTAGTAATCCTCCTGCCTCAGCCTCCCCTGTACTGGGATTACAGGTATGTGCCACTGTGCCTGGTTTACATACTGAGTTTTGAAGATATGTTGGAATTGAAATCTTTTTAAATGAACATTTTCTTCCTTCCAGTTTGATCTGTAAGAAATATACCAGGGTATGAATGTCTTTATTATTCTAGATATGTAATCTAACTCTTTCAGGGGTGGCGGGGCATACCTATAATCCAGCACTTTGAGAGGCAGAGGCAGAGGATGGAAGACTTGAGTCCAACCTGGGCAGTTTAGTGACTTAGCAAAGCCCTGCCTCAAAAGAAATAAAGGGCTACAGATGTAGTTTAGTGAGAAGGTCCTAGGTAAAATTTCCAGCACTAAAAAAGAAAGGTTTCATGCCAAGTAAAGAAAAGCAGCAGTCTTCATATAAACACAGGCATATGTTTGTGAATAAGGCATCCAAATACAACACTTATTAAAAATAATAAGTACTTATTAAAAATACAGTACTTATTAAAAAAAATAATTTGGGCTGGGCATAGTAGTGTATACCTGTAATTCATGCACGTGGGAGGTTGAGTCAGGAGGAATGTGAGTTGAAGACCATGGTGGACTACATACTGAATTTGAGGCCAGATTCCACTATATAGTAAGACCCTGTCTCAAAAAATAAATGAAATGATAATTATTTGGTTGATGATGAAACGTTAACATAGATTTAAGTGTAACGAATATTCCAGTTGGCAAAGGGATGTTCGCGTGGGGAAGGTTATACATGTTAGGGTCAGTGGGTGTAGAGGAAATCTCTGTCTTTGTCTCAATTTTGCTATTATTTTAACATTTCTCTAAAAACAGCTATTAACAATGATTACTGTAATGTTAAACTGGGAAACTCATTACATGAAAATCAGCTAATCCAGATTAAAACTACTTTGATGATATTCCACTTGATAATGGTGTAAATATTTTCTATTTTATGATATATATAAAAGCAAAAAGAACTAGGATATAGGAGAGCATTACTAGGGTCAATAATCAAATATATAGTGCAGTCAGTCTACAACAGCAGTGTGACCCATGAACGTGGAATGTTTCAACTCTTGTACTGAGTTCCTCAGTTTAGCTGCTTAGTCCAGGGTTAATTTTCAGAGCTGAGGAGAGGACATTCCTAGTGTCACGTGTCATCAGTGTGATGTCATCTGCCGCTCTGCAAATTCTAAGACTGTGCACTTTAAACGAATCAATTTTTAAAACTACAACTTATGATAGGCTTGATCAGAATTCTGCAGAAGTGGAATTGAGAGACCAAAGGCTCTATATGCTTTTTTTTTCAAATGAAGAAATTGGAAGAAAGAAAAAAAGAAAGAAGAAAGAAAGAAAGAAAGGAAGAAGCAAAATGTGTCAAAGTGACAATTCATTCAGTACAGGAATAGGACTAGACCCCATTTGTTTTTCTCCAACACAACCGAGTGCTTTTTATCTAGTGGTGTCAGTGGGACAACACTGCAGAAAATACAGCCTTTATTAGGTTAGAGTGAGTTAGTCTGAAAATAATAATGTTTCAAAAATGAATCTTGTTTTTAAGATAATTTACATAGATTTCTTTTCACTGCTTTTAATGATACTTTACCTATTTATTATTACTTTTAGATTTCAGTTTATGATCTTTAGTTAGTCCATTTATAAATTCATAGGTGAGAATAAAATTGTTTTTTCTTTATAGGCTAAAAAATCTATAATTAAATTATGAAAACATTTATTAAGCTTTCTAGAAACAAAGTTTGGTTAAAATAGAGTTTTGTTATGACTTTCTTTCACATGTGAAGCAACAGTGACCTTCAGTATGAAGACTATATATGAAATTTTGAAACACATTTAACACTGAATTACCACTAAATAGCTGTGTGATGACAATCACTGAGAGCCTTTGGAACTTTGGAATTTAGTTGACTTTGAGGTATGTGTGGTGCTATTTTTTGCCATGCAAAATTAGCAGCCACGAAGTTACTTGTGTTAAAATACTTGCCATAAGTACGTTTTATATCTAACAAAATGTGAAACACAAAAAAGGCTTTCAAGAATATGTTCAAATATTTTGAAAATTTCCAAGGGCTTTTGTCTCATATTATCAAATAAGCCACTCTCGTATTCTCGATTGGAATGCAGACTTGCAGTGATCTGAAGGTTGGGTGTGAACGGTGTACAGAGAGCTCCACATTAAACTCTGGGTTTCTGTGTTTTCTTTGCTTCACCATTTACAAATGTCTAACTCACTAGAATCGTTTTTTTTATTCCTTTCAGATAAATATATTACCAGAATTATATCAGCTTTGCAGAAAGGAAGGATTATGTCAAATAATTAGAAGATTTCCAGGTAACATTAATTTAGTTAATTATGAATATGTGTGTGACTTATGTATCCTTAGCAGACATCAACTAACAGGGACTCAGACTTGTAGCTTTATTCCTTTGTCTGTCGATTCCACTATCACACATCTCCTATAGTCCACAGATTTTGACAAGTATGGGGGAGAGCATTTTGAGACACATATGATCTGTTTCAAGGGCCCACACTCTTTTTTTCTGTACTGAGAATTGAACTCAGGACCTTGTGCTTGCCACATGGGCACTGTGCCGCTGAGCTATATCTCCAGCCCAGGTAACAGACGGCATTCTTCTTTACCAATTTTTTTTTTCTTTTTTTGGTACCAGGAATCAAACTCAGGACCTTGTACTTGCTAGGCAGTCACTTGTGCCACTGAGCTATATCCCTGGTCCTAGATTTTGCCAAGGGGAAGACCTTGATAACAAGTAACACAAGCATAACACTGTTTCTTTCTTTCACACTTTTTTTTTTTTTTTGTCTTTTTGGGACGGGGTCTCACTATGCAGTTCAGGCTGGCCTTGAGCTCGCTTTGTAGCCAAGGCTGGCCTCGAACTTGCAAGGATCCTCCTACCTCAGCCTCCTGAGTGCTGGGATGATAGGTGTGCGCCACCATGCCCTGCTCTTTCACCTTCTGAATTTTTCACTGTTCTGTTTGTGTTTAAAATAACTGCTGCACTATTTAAAAATTATTTTAGTAACTTGATTATATAAAACTTGATGTTTTAAAACAATATAGGTTTCTTCATGATTAAATTATTGTGATCATAAAATTTGTCTTTTCTTTCTCAAATCCTCTTACTTGTCCATGTGTTTAAAACAGGATACAGAGTAACTTCTGTCTTGACGATGTTAGGAATTTCAAACAAAATCACCACCTCCAATTTTCACATAAGTTCATAGAGAGGAAAACGATCAGCAGAGTACATGAGGCTTAGATGAAATAAGCCCCTATTGATGAAATTATAGCCTGCTCTGAAACAGATTGGTGGGAGAGTTTCTCAGATTTCGTGTTTAAAACTCATTTGTTGTTTAATAGTTTATGCCCTTAGAAAGTATTTCATTACACAATTAAAACTTAGACCTGCATAATTTTAATTGTGTTTTATATTAATTTCTGTCCCAGTGGAATCAGAAAACTGAAGATGCATCTTAGTGCTTCAGCTTTTCCAGGGGGCTCTGTCTGCATACCAAGCATAACCCTGGCATGTCCCACTGGGAAGACTGCCATCTTCTACTGTTTACCAGGGTTTGAAACGGAAAGAAATCAGTAATTTAACTTTCCGTTTAAAGTACATTTCCATATAAATAGCTGAATAAATTGCTTCTCGTATTATTGTCTTATACAGTAATTATAACTGATTGTAATCTCTGGGTTTTTTTTGGTAGACTCTAGCTGGATCGCTTTTTTTTTTTTTTTTCCTATGAAGAAGTAACTATGTGAAAAGTAAAATAATTTATTCCTATTATAGAGTATTAATGAGTTCCAGAGTTACTTTAGTTAAGGCAATATGAAAAAAAGTTGTTTCCATTTCAATCACAGCCTATAGATTTTTTTTTATTTCAAAGAGAGTAGTAAATAAGAAACAAAGAAATAGAACAGTTGCAGCATACCAGTATCACAAACATAAACAAATCAAAGAACATTCAAAGTGATAGAGAGTCTCAAGACAAAATAATAAAAATCAACAGTGGTTGTTACATTACATATCACTATCCTCAACTACATTGCTCATATTACCAGATGTAAGAATGCAAGATTGCTCAAACCATTATAGGGAATAAGAAAATAATTCTTCGATAGAACATTAGAGATGATTCAGAGTTTCACTAGACAAGATGGTAGTTCACCATTGTAATTCCATTGCATATAATTCCTTCAAATCAGTTGCTCAGACCACCAAAGGCATGCACAATCGATCAGAACATAAAAAATTGTAATCATTAACTGTTCATTTCAATACACTATCAGACATCAGCAATACAGTTCTCGCAACTATTCATATATATATATATATTTATATTTTGTGTTCCTTCTTTTTTTTTCTCCTTTCCCTCATCCCAGTTGTTCCTTCCTTTGAGCAATTTCTTTCCCTTTCTTATTATCTATTGTACATTTTGAGTTTTACCTAGTCTTTCAGGTTCCTACACCAAGGAGACAATATGATGTTTACCCATCTGGGTCTGATTTATTTCACTTATGAGTATGTTCTCTAGTTGCATCCATTCATCTACAAAAGCCTTGAGATTA